AGATCCGAAGGTCCCCGGCCAGGAGGGCTCCATACCGGGCAGGCGTGAGGGGCAGGTAGGCGCCCCCCGCCTGGTCTAGAATGTACAGCGGGTCGGACAGTGTGCTCGGGTCAAAGCCCTCCTTCGCCATCCGGACCTTCTGCTGCTTGAACGTCTCTGTGGTGGCCAGAGACTCCTGGGGAGAGGGCGTCAAAGGGCGTTGAAGAAAGGGGCACTCTACCCAAATGGCTCGGGTGAGTTGCCTACATTTTGTTAAGGGGCATGTCTGGGGACAGTGGGTGATGAGGTCAGGGTTCAGGGGAGGAGGTGACAGGGAAGAGAAGGGGCCAAACCTAGACAAACGAAGGGGCGAGGAGCATGTCTGGGAAGGTGTTTGTTCTCCTCAGAGTGTATACTGTGGGGGCCCCTTTGTGGGGTTTGGAGCTACCGACTGCCACGCATGTATGGGGCGAGAGATCACGCAGGGCTGGGCGGTTACCTGGAGCCTGAGGAACCGGGGCCAGGCATAAGGCGGCAAGTTCTCAGAAACATGGGCGTAGAGCTGCACGAGGTCCAACGAGTGGGGGGGACGCAGAACCAGGGCTGCCATTCCAGCCCTGCCTTCGTGTCCTGGGGTCATGGGGGCAAGGCTCAGCCTCCTGTTCCTTCTGCCCAAGTCACACCAATTCGGGGAGATGGCCGCCCCCCCCCCCACCTCTCGCGGCTGGGTACCTGGCACGGTGACGCCATAGATGTTCACCTCCTGGAGGAAGTCCAGGGCCTCCAAGGCCTCTGCCACCTCCGTGGTGGCCACATTCTCCCCCTTCCACCTGCCGGAGCGCAGAGAAACAAAACCAGGAGTCAGGGGGCGGGGCCTGCGGAACTGGGAGGGAGAGAATGTCAGGGATGAGGTCAGGGTGCCGGGCTGCCACCACCGGGAGGTGGTGTCTGGTGTCTCGGAGCTCTGCGGTGAGCGTTGAGTGGGGAGGTAAGGCGGTGGGGTGGGGCAGATCAGCGAGCTGCGGTGTAGGGGCCTGGGCTGGAGATCAGAGGCCCAGGAAGGAGCCAGGAAGTTAGGGACAGAGACCTGAAGGTGTCCCCAGTGCGATCATGGAAGCGGAGGAAGCCTTGGTCGTCGCAGACCAGCAGGTCCCCAGTGTTGAAGAAAACATCCCCAGGCCGGAAGACATCCTGGAGGAGCTTTCCCCTGGCCAGCTCTGGGTCCCCGGCGTAGCCCAGGAATGGGGACTGCTGGCTCACTGGTGTCACCAGCAGCCCTGGTTCACCTGGCAGAGCCACTGGGGTCAGGGGTGGTTCCCCCCCTCGCCTCCCGCCCCTCGCCCCACTCTCCAATGCTAACCCTCCTTTGCCAGCTTCACCACCCCACCTACCCTGCCTGAGCGCAAACCTGGAGATGTGGCCACGCAGTGCCCACGGGTGTCCCGAAGTGGCTCCCCCGTGGTGACATCGAAGCGAATCAAAGAGAAGGGGAAGACACGCTGGGGGAAGGGAGACCCAGGCACTGAGTCACTTCAGTTGCACGAGTGCCCCCCCAGCCAACCTCTGCTGTCATGGGGTCTCCAGTTTCCTTCCCACTCCTCACCTTGTAAAGCCAGGAAGCTCGGCCCACAGCACCTCGCTGTCCTGTGTAGTTGAAAGTGGCCACGTTGCCCTCTGTCAGCCCATACGTCTCCAGCACCTGCAGGGGCCCGAAGCGCCGCACAAAACGCTCCCAGGTGTCCAGGCGCAGCCCACTGCCCACTGCCAGCCGGACCTTATGTCCATGTTCTGCCTGACTCTGTGAGGAGTACAGATAGGGGCAGGAGCTTCAACACCAGCGTGCCAGCTCCCCAAAGTGAAGTCCTGTTCCCCATCCCCTAGAAACCCTTTCCACTGTGATGCTCAACGGCCTAAGCGTCGGATGTCCCAGCGCCAGGCTCCCTACCCGACCCTGCTACTTTCTCGCTGCCTCTCCCTCCGACTCCCAGAGAACTGTCGCTGTGTCTCCTGTCAGCTGCCCATCTCCCTGCCTTGACGGCTCAGCCCGGCATCTGTGCCCACGCACCAGGGGCTGGTTGATAAGATATCGGCATAATTCCCCGATGTACTGGAACACGGTCACCCTGTGTTTCTGGCAGTCCTCCCAGAACTGACCAGCTGAGAACTTGGACTTCAGCACCACTGTGGCCCCTGCCAAAGTCGGGAGGGAGGAAGGAGGTGAGGTTAAGGGCTGGAGGGGGAGCCCCGACCCCCTTCTTCCCAACACTAGCCTTCACTGTAGTACAGCTTCCCTGTGGCATTCCCACTGGTGGGTGGGCAGGCCGAGTTAGCCTCTGCCCTCTCCGTCTGTGCTTCCGAGAGGTTAATGCCCTTTTCCTCTCCCTGTCCCCAAACAGTCCACCTCTGTTCCCTGTGCCAGTCCCAGTCCGCTTCCTTTGCCTCCTCCTGGGCTGACACTTCCATCCCTTGCCCCTAGACTCCCGAGTTCTGTGACCCATGTGACCTCCCAAATCACTCAGTCTGCAGGTCTGTGCAGGTGACACTTCTCCATCATATCAGGAGCTCCTGGAGAGTGGGCCCTGCCTCCTCCTTGCTCCGGATTCTCTTCATGAAGGACTCAGGGGCACCCCAAGCTAGCAGCACAGCAGGTGCTTGCTAAACCTGTTCTAAAGGACTGAAAGGGGGTTGGGTGGGGAGACTGACCAATGCCCAAACAGCCCACAATGCCCAGCAGGGAGCCAGACATGTGGTAGAGTGGGAGAGCCAGGTAGATCACGTCCTCCTGGTGGGCACCACACAGCTGGTAGAACCCCTGGCACTGCAGGACCTTCAGGTGACTGATCCGAACAGCCTTGGGGAGGCCTAAGGGTGGGAGGAAACCGGGGGAAGAGGCTCAGCTCCAAGCTCTGTCTCCCCCTCTGCCCCTGCTGGGTTTCCCACAGAAAGAGGTGGAGGCTGGAATGAAGCTGAGGGAAGCCAGGCTGCCTTGGAAATGTGGGGAGTTAGGGGAGCTGGAGAAATCATGGGGGGTGGGAGAATTCGCAAGGGAGGATATGGATGCTGGGATTAGCACCTCCTGGGGGGGGGGGCGGTCTGGAGGGGTGGCCTGGGAGCTGAGGAGCCCCTGTTCCCAGACCCTTGCCTTCCTCTGCCTCAGTTTCTGGGAAGTAAGCATGGTGTCCAGCCCTCACCAGTAGTGCCAGAGGTGAAGATGTACAGGCATGTGTCCATTATGCTCTGGGGAGCAGATAGGTACCCGGGCACAGGCCCATCCAATTCAGCCGAGACCTCAGCCAGCAAATCGCTGATTCCAGCAGAATGGGTTTCAGGCCCTGCAGCCCACAGGTGGAGCCCCATGGCTCTCAGGGCCGGCAGGTCAGGCTCCAGGGACTCCAGGAACTCTGGATGCGGTAAGAAAGCGCCAAGCTCCATGGCTCCACCTACAGTCACCCAGAAGCCTTCCCTACCCTCTAGCCTATTTGTACCGCCACTCTCCCCACTTTCCCTGCTCCGCACTGCTCTTGGGTGAGAGTGAAAACTATGGACATCCCATAACAGACCTGAGTCCTGGAGCCTGACTATTTGGGAATTTGGGGGTAACCAAAGAGCCAGCTCCATCTCTTCGCATACCCAGAGATGTATCCCCACCCTTTGGGAATCCCAGGGTAGCTTCCTCGGTCCCTTCCGGGCCCAACCCTTCCAACCTGCGACACGCCCCTTTCCTGCCGACACCGCCCTGCAGGGAGCTCCAACCTTACCTGGCGCCAGCACCAGTGCGCTCGCGCCGCAGCTGCGGAGGCAGTGCAGTAGGGGTCCCCGGCGCAGGGCGGTGGGCACAAAGGCCGTCCGCAGACCGGCCTTGGCTAGCCCGAACCAAAGCCACAAGAACTCCGGGGAGGCAGGAAGGAGCAGCGCCACGGTGGCTCCGGGTGCCAGAGGGGCCGCGCCATTCCCATCCCTCACGGCCTGCGCCTCGCCGCTTCCGGCTGCTCCCTGGCCCTCCCGGGCGCCCCTTGAAGCGCAGCCGCTGACCCCTTCCCAGCCCCGCGCGCGCAGGAAGGCGCGTGCCGCCCGATTGCTCTGGCGCTCGGCCTCAGCGTAGCTGAAGCACTGCGCGCCGTGGATGAGGAAGGTGTGCGCCGGCCGCTGGCGAGCCAGTTGCGCGAGGCGCCAGGCCAGGCTGCAACCCCCCTCTGGACCCTGCGGGTCGGCTTTGGCCGCGGCCAGGGCGCGTGCTCGGAGCGCGCGTTTGCAGCGTAGGGCGCGCACCGTGAAGGCCAAGTCTGCTGCCAGCCAGCGCCACTGAGGCCAGAGGTGCAGCAGTAGCGGCAACAGCAGCAACAGAAGCAGCAGCAGGAGGGTAGCCATGGTACCCTCTTCTTGGTCTCGGCGCCTTCTGGCCCCAGCTGTTCGCAGTCAGCCCTGCTACTCGCTTCCGAAAAATTGGGGCCTCTCGTTCTGTCTGAGACTGCTCCTTCAAGGGAGCGCGCGTGCGCTGGCACACGCCCCTTCCCCCTGGAGGGGAGCGGGGGCGGAGGGGGGGACGGCCCCAACACTCCCGGCCTCTCCACCCCCAAGCTCCGCCTAGAAACACTCTTTACCGGCTACTCGCCCGCACTCCACCAGGTCCTGGGCGGTGCTCGTACACCTTCCCTGCATCTCAGGGTCATCTCTTAGGTTCCTTCGCAAGGGCAGTTTAGGCGTCTAGCTGGACTTTGGCGTTCAGGTCTGAGAACCAGGGCATTTGGATCAAAGTCCATCTGTCGTTCTATCTCATTGGCACCAGGGACGGGAGGGTGCCACTGCTCTGTCCCAAGACTGAAGAAGCCGACCCCTTGCCTGTTTGGTGCTGCCAAGTCCCGGCTTGGTAGCCAGACTCACGCCCGAAGGGATGGGTGGGGGCTGAGAGTTAAGTAGGGGAAAGGTGGAGGCCCAGCCAGCCAGATTTCTGGAGGGACCACGACGGAGGCCCCTCCCTTTGGACAAGCGTACAATAATTGGGGCCAGCCAGCCAATGCTTTCCATCCTGGTTTTAATTGGGGCAGAGAATACTGGGGAAGGAGAGAGGAAGGAAAGGAGGTCTCGGGTGGTTTAGACTTTCAAAAGGAGGAGCCGCAGCGTTGAGGGAGTGGAGAACCCGGATTCTGAGGCAAGCTTGCAGGCTGAACTGGAGCTGTCTCCATCAGCCTGAACTTCACTTCTTTTCATCTGGCCACTCAGCCTCCCTGGACAGCAGGGGGACAAAGGCACAGCCAAGGAGCTCTTCCTGCTGCTGCACAGACTGTGAAGAAAGAGGGAGCCTCCTCCCTGGTCACTGAACTCTGCACGTGTCCTTCAGGATCCGACTGGGGTGTGCCTCGACCCCGACACTTAGTCCTCTCAGAGCTGGCATTTGTCCACAGTAAATGGAGTATGACAAATTCTAGCTTTTGGAAGTCTCTAATTCTTGAGAGATGGTTAAGGACAGGCCTCACCCTACTGGGAATTGGAGCATCAACTGGAGCACAGGTCAGTGCCCCGCCTGAAGGCCAGTGGCAGCTGGAATAATGGGGACGCAGGAGGGCAAAGCCAAGCCCCCTCTGCTTCAGACGAAAGAGGGGAAGACAGGAAGGGAAAAGGGAAACTGAAGCCACAGGAGGGGTGCCCACTGAGACTACCTGAACATGCGGGGGGGGGGGGGGGGGGGCTTGCGCAGACCTCACTGCGGCAGCAACTCTGGCACAAAAGAGGTTCTGGCTTGTTTTATTGTCATTTAAAAACAGCTTTTAAAACACGATTATCTCTGGGGGAAAAAAAAAGGAAATGGGACCCATTGACAGTTCTGTGGACTGTGTCTCTGCCACTCCCTGGGGCTCTGGCCCAGCCTGAGGCACCGACTTCAGGCCAACACAAGCCTCCTGGGCACACCAGGTGGGGCTATGGCCTCCCTGTCAGGTTCCTTCCTTAACACTTGTGGCATTTACCCCATGGAAAGAAACAGGCAGCAAGAAATTGTCACTGATTAAGTGCCCCTTTCATTCCGGTGTATGGAGAGCAACTATAAAATGCCCGTTCAGGGCAAATCAAGGCCTGAAGGGGGGACATGAGGGGGCATCAGAAGGGACACTTGCACACTCGAGTCCTTCCTCTCCTCCTTGTCTCTCTGGCCAGCTACCCCTTTGCCATTTCTCCTCTTGGTTTAAATAGCTCTTTGGGAGGCTGGGGGAGGGGCAGGGTCCTGAGGACTTGCTCCACCATCCAGGTTTTGTACCGCCTCTGGCTTTAGCGGGAACCCAAGTATTGGTGGGATCAGCAGTGTGATGGGCTGGAGGCCCCAGGGAGTGGAGGGGGCGCTGGGGGCTGCATGGCAGCTCATCAGGCTTCCCACCAGGTGAGTGTTGGGATGGGGGAGAAGGTGTCTCCCCTACGATCTCCCCAGCCCCTATTAAACCTTTGATTCACCAAAGAGGGGAGGGTAGTCCAACTAGGGGTGGGATGGGAGCACGAGCCTCAGTCACTGTCAGACCCCACTGCAGAAGACCCCTTCCGTTTCCGCTTGGTGGGCTTCGGTTTTGTGTCTTCTTCCTCCTGAAAGAGATCAGGGCGGGGCGGGGGGGGGTGTCATTTGCCTAACAGCTGCTGCCCCAACTCTACCTACACCCCACGCTCCTTTTCCTGTGTACTGGTTAGGGGTTCTCACCGAGGCACTGCTGGAGCCAGACTCCTCCTCAGCATTAGGGGGCTGTGTGGCATTCTTTCGACTCCGGGGGCTGGACAGAGCTGCTTTTCGCCTGCTCTTGGGTGGCTTGGTGGAAGAGTCCTCATATTCCTCGGCCAGGGAGAAGAGGTCACTGAACCTGAGGGAAAGGAGTACGTGCTCTCAGGGTGCGGGCCTCTGGCCCTCTGACCTTCCTTCCGTCTTCTTCTCTGCCCCATGGTCTCTATTTCTCTTCAACCCCACAGTCTTACTGGTCATGAAGTCTGTGTCCCCACCTGGCCCCCTCCCTATGCCTTCTCCTACTATTTCCCAAGGAGCCTCACTTCATCTTGTGGGCTTCATCACAGCTCGCCTGGACATGCTGCAGAGCCTGGAGGATTGGGGTCTGGCTGAAAACTAGAGGGAGAAGGAAGAGACAGCAGGAAAGGAGGAAGAAGAGTCAGATTTCTGGGAGTTTAATAATTGGTACCCAGGGGTGATTTTCTCCTCCCCTGCCCCTACCCAACTCGGGGTGGTCTGTGCCAGGGCAGCACTAGGCACGCTAGACTCAAGGAGGGCTGGAAAGCGTACAGTTCTGCTTGGTGTTGGTCAGGTTAAGACGCAGGTTGTCTAGATGCTCCAGGATCTGCTCCAGAGTTAGCTGGGCCAGCTTGCTGCTGGAACTTCTTAGGCTGCAGGGAAGTCAGGAGAACCAAATTCTGAGCTGGAAGTGAGGACTCCAGGAGTGCAAGACACTCTCCCCAACCAGGGTCCCTCCTGAAGTCAGAGGCAGCCCATACAGGGAGGACACAGAGGGCTGGAAGGGGTAGGGTGGCATCCAGGAGGTGAATTAGAACAGGGACCAGCCACAGAACACTAGGAAGAGGGGAAGGGGCCCCAATGGTTCTGCAGGCCATGAAACTTCAGACCACTAGATGTCACCCACAAGCCAGGCAGGGACAGCATGGACTGCCATGGCCTGTGGAGAGTGGCAAGCCTGGCCTGGAGGGTCCCACCTCTGCCTCTTGCGTGGGAGGCTGTTGTTCTTGATGAGCAGGGACTTGATGTGTTCGGCCAGCAGCTCGTCGTGCTTCATGCACCAGTGTCGAAGGATGCTGGTGGTGAACTGGTCGTCGGGGTGGCAGGGCCGGCTCAGCACCATCTTTACCATCTCCTCGCTGGGCCTGGGGGCGTGAGAGGGGTGATGGGCATCCTGCTCACAAAACTGGTCTCGGGAACCAGTGGGTGTCTCCCACGTACTTATTTCCCAAACCGCAGCCTGCTGCAGCTTCCTACTCTCACATCCCTCTCCCTCTTCTCTTTGGGCAAGGAATGCTTGGTTTCATCCTTTGCAGAAGGCAGGAGACAAGAAGTGAGACTCTCTGGTTTCTGTGGTAGTAGAAGGTACATGTGTATGTGTGGAAGGAAGCCTCTGCATACCCCCCATTTTGCCCAAAACAGTCAGGAAATGGGACAGGGAGGCACAAAGACAGCACGCAGTACGTGATCACGGCCCCACTCCTGCGTGCCAGATCTGTGGGCCACACTGGTATCCAGCCCGGGGAAGGCTCAGGGGGAGGGATGCAAAGCCATAGCCCCCACAGGGCCCTCCAACCTTCCTACTTCTTTTAAGACACTTGGCACCATTTCTGGTCTCTCAGGCAAGAGAGGAGAAAAGGTGGAAGGAAGACAACAAGGTAGGAAGGAAAAGACACACACAGCTGTTGCCCCATTTATGTGGGGCTGTTGCAACAGTGCCTGTGATGGAGGGAGGGGCCTTAGCCTTCTCTGCCTCTCTGTTCTACGGGAGCCTGAGCCCGGAGCACGGCTGGTTGAGGAAGGGGGTGGTGTGTGACCCCTCTGCTCTGACCCTTCCTCCTCTTGGATTAGCCCTGTGGTGGCCTCAGGAGCCTGGGGGAGGGGAGCAGAAGCCACTGGGACTAGAACTGCTGTGGCAGCAGGAAACAGTGATGTCCGGTCCCCACCTCCAGGGCAGCTCCTGGTGGGCAGGGGGGTAAAGTCAAGAGGAAGCCCAGATCCCAGGGGAGCTGCTTATTTGTAAATCACTATGGGAAGGGCAGAATAAGCCCTTGTCAACAACGGGAAAAAACATGGCCAAAGGGGCAGGACTAAAGCCCTGGATTCAGTAGCATCTCTTGGTGCGTTGGACAGGCGGCTTGTTAACTCCTGGGGTGGAACTCACTTCTCTCTCCGGAGCTGAAGCAGGAGGCAAGACAAGGCCTCCGGGTGCTCTGTGGGGAAAGGGCAGAGGCCATTCAGAGGCATGTATAATTCCAGGAAGACAACCTGGCACCTCTCCCATCCCCCAACCAACAGCCACTGGGAGGGGCAAAAGTAATCTTCAGGAGCTAGGAAGAACAATCTCCTACCCCATTCCTGTAAAACCCCGGCCACCACAGCCCCAGCCCAGCGCCTGGCTCAGAAAGGGCCTGCAGGACTCTACTAAGGGCGCAAGTGACTGACTGGGAGGTGGCCCCTCCACGGGGCACTTCAGTGGGAACGGGAGCGGTGGGTCTGGGCTCATGCAGCTGTCCACAGGCCTCAGCCTTGCTCCAGCCAGACTGGGAGCATCCCATCCCCATGCTCCCTACCCACGGCCCTACTCACCCTTATATTTGAGGTGCTGCAAGATGGGGATGATGGTCTCTAGAGGGATGTTGTGGGCCAGAAAGAGCTGCCAGGCACAGTATTGCTCAAAAGTCTCCCAGTCTAGGCTCTGGACTGTGAGAGACAGTGAAGAGACAGTTTTTAAAATCTTTTTTCATTTTTTATTTTTCTATTTTAGAGAGAGACAGGAAGGGAAAGAAAAAAAACATCAATTTCTTGTTCTACTTATTTATGCATTCACTGGTTGACTCTTGTTTGTGCCCTGAGCAGGGGTTGAACCCACAACCTTGGCGTATTGGGGATGATGCTATAACCAACTGAGCTACCCGGCCAGGGCATGAATAGATATTAAATTCCCCCCTACCCCCGCATCTCTCTCCCAACAACCAGCACCCCAATCCTAAGCCTAGAGATACTCTCCCTTTCCACAAAAAGCTTATTTCCAAAGCCTTCAGATAGCTTCTGTACTCCCATCAGCCCTGAGGCTGGAGAGTATCTTTCTATTTTACAGGGCAAGACAGAGACCCAGAGAGACGTGGCCCAAGACTACCCAGCAGGCGCAGCGCCGTTCTACCCCCTTCTCAGCCCCATTCTCTGCCCCAGAGGCAGCTTTCCTGTTATACCACAAGGGCTGCCACCCCATCTTCTCCCAGGGTTACTAAAGTGTCTGCTCACTTACTGAGTATGTTGAGGACTGAGTCTTTTCGAAACATGACCAGGTTCCCCATCATCACATGGCAGACCAGCTCCTGGAGCTGAGGAGGAGGAGGAAGAAGGCATAACCCATTGGTTCTAAATCTAAATCCCCATTGGGAAGATGGTGTGGAAGGAGAAGCCAGAGGGCTCATATGGGGAAAAATGAGAGGAAGTAAAAACCTAGTTTAAAAGGACGAGGAGGAAATGGCATATGATGAATGACAGGGTCTCTCAGTGGTGCCCATAGGCCCACCTGGGGCAAACATAGTTAAAACTATCCCTCACACTCTGAAGCAAGATAATGGGCAACTTCTCTCCCTGGCTATAGTCTGGGCCTCCGACCATCTCAGCCTGTGCCTGAGGAGCGGGGAAGGGCCATGGGAGGAGGAGCTTTGGATTTCAGATTTGGGGAAAAGCTAAGCAAAGGAAGGGCTTTTGAATGTAAAGTTTCCTCCTTTACAGATGAGTGAAGAGGAAGAAGAGAAGTAAGACCCCAGTTCAGGCCTGAGGATGGACATAAGCAAAGCTACAGCCTCCTGGGGACCTATGCATGATGGGAAGGTCAAATGGAACTGGCCATAAACGGTCTGACCATTTTCACCCTGAGTCAAGGGGAAGACCTGCTGAGATCCGAAAGCAATCCCTTCGCCTTCCCTGTGCAACAGAAGTGCCCCAAGAGTACGGAGAGGGGGAACTCCCGGAGGACTGCCAGCCCAGCAAGCGGCTCCAGGGCTCTGCGTTCCCTCCCAGTCCACTGGGAGCAGCGCACAGCGCACACCGCACAGCCCGGAGCAGCGCAGGCTCCGTCAGAGGCCTGATTGCCCCAGCCCTGCTCCCACACCTCACAGGATGACAGCTCGATGTTCACCTGTGCAGAATCGATAACAGCCACAATCATGTTCAGCAACTCCCCACTCCGCAGGGTCTCGTCTGGAAACTGGAGAGAAAAAGAGGGAAAGTAGGGCAGGAGTCCAGGGTGTACCCCTTGGCTCTCACTTCACAACCCGTTCTGCTGCCTCACTGAATGCTTGGGGGGCAGGAAGGGCGGCGGCAGTGGCGGGGCTAGGTTAGCCAGACACAGGGTCCTAACACTTAGGAAGCTAGGAACCTAACCACTGAGAACCAGGCTGTGCTCTTTTGTGCGCACACCATGGTAGTGTGGGGGAGGGAGAGGAGAGGAGGAGGAGGGGGGGAGGGGAGGGGAGGGGAGGGGAGGGGGGAGGGGAGGGGGGGAGGGAGGGGGGGAGGGGAGGGGGGGGACGGGGAAGGGAGGGAGCTACGTGGAGACAAAGCTAGAGCTGAAAGGGACCAGGCATGACGGTTCATTCTGTTGGTGACAGAATATGCATTTGTATCTCTGGCAGCAAAGAAAGAAATCCAATTACCTCTGACCCTTGGATAAAGAAGGGGAGGTACAGAGAGTGTGTGAGTGTTCAGCATGTGGGGGGCGGGCAGGACCCCTTCTGAGGAACACAGTTCACGGGGAGGGGCAGGGAGGGAAAATGCCATCTGCCGGGCAGGGCACCGGCACCTCTCCTCCCTCCAGTTTTGGCTGAGATCACAGTTCCTCCTGTCGTGCCCATACCCCACGCCCCGATTTCCCAGTTCCTGTGAGTTTTCACCAGAGGAGGAAGAGGTGATACCTCCTCCTATGTGCCAGTTCCCAGAGAAGACGGAGGGTGAGCTGGGGAAATGAAGTTGAATCTCCACCAGAGACCCTGGTCTTTAGGAACTATTAGAAAGAACCCAAGCGTGAGCCATCAGCTGGCAAGAGGGCTGAGACTTGAGAATGTGGGTCTGGTTGGGGACCTGTCCTGGGTCCAGGGGATGGGCCCAAAGCCACGAAGCCAAGTATACAGGCCCATATCCAAACTCACACAGCAAAGCAGAAGACATAAACTTGAGGGCTTTTTAGACACTTTTAAATCTTTAAAGAGAGGTAGGAGGAGACAGCTGTGGCGCGGGCAGAAATGGCGGCAGAAATGGCCCACCAAGGCCAGCGGGGGCGGGGAAGGAGGGGCAGGGCTGTGTGCGGTGAGATGGGGCCACCTCTGCGGCCCCAGGGATGCGGGCAGAGGCACTGACCTCCGTGTAGATGGAGGGCGTGAGGTGGCACAGCAGCCGCACGTCGTCCTCCTGGCAGGCCTTCATGTCCATCATCAGGCAGGTGTGCAGATCGCCCAGCTGGGTGGCCTGAGCAAACGACTCGTACAGGTTCATCTTCCCTGCGGCAGCTTTGCTGCAAGACCAGTTGGGCCTAAGCCAGCAGCCTGGCCCCAGCGCCCAGCCTCAAATATCCCTCAAGTAGCTTCCCATTACTTGAGTTCCCACAACCCCTTTGCTGCCCCAGGTGCCCTGGGCTGATCTGTTTCATGGCTTTCCCTGCTTCCCCAGGGGCTTGATAACTTATGGGAACAAGGAGACACTCTTCTTCTTTCTCCCCACCTTTCCCCAGTGCTCTGGACAGGGCTCTGACCACAAAGAGTCAGCTACTTAGTGATGAGAGGCAAGAACAGGAGAAAGAGGGCTCAGGTCAGCCCACGGGAAGCTCTCTTTCCTGCTTCCTGGGCTCTAAGCAATGAGGGTATCAACGCATGGACACCCTCACTTATCATCTACAGAACTGAACCCAAAATGGATCCGAGGCCTACATGTAAAAATGAAAAACTATATACTTCTTAGAATACATAAAAGCAAAAAAATTTTTTATAAAGTATTTCCTTTTTTTAAGGTTTTATTTACTTACTTTTAGAGAAAGGGGAGAGGAGGGAGAAAGAGAGGGAGAGAAACATCGATGTGGGAGAGATACATCGACTGGCTGCCTCTCACATGCCCTCAACCAGGGACCTGGCCCACAACACGGGCATGTGCCCTGACTGGGAATTGAATCAGAGACCCTTCGGTTTGCTGGCCGGTGCTCAACCCACTGAGCAACACCTGCCAGAGCCATAAGCATAAATCTTCATGATACCAAAATCACAGGTGACACAGAAAAAAATAAAATGGACTTCATCAAAATTTAAAACTTTGTGTTTCAAAGAGTGCCATAAAGTGAAAAGATAACTCACAGAATGGGAGAAAAATATATGCAAACCATATATTTGATAAGGAACTTATATTCAGAATATATAGCGAACTCTTAAAAATTAACAATAAAGACAACCCAATTTTAAAAATAGGAATGAATTTGGACATTTCTCCAAAGAAAATATGCAAATGTCCAGTAAGTTCACGAAAAGATCCTTGCCCTGGCTGGTGTGGCTCAGTGGATTGAGCACCAGCCTGCGAACCAAAGGGTCTCCAGTTCGATTCCCAGTCAGGGCACATGCCTGGGTTTTGGACAAGGTCCCCAGTAGGGGGCGCACGAGAGGCAACCACACATTGATCTTTCTCTCTCTTTCTCCCTCCCCTCTATTCTGTCTAAAAATAAGTAAATTAATACACTCTTTTAAAAAAACCATTATTTTAAATATGAGAAAACACATGGATGGCCCTGATGATGATGGACAAGGGTGGAGGAACCACTGTGTGCTTGGAGAGAGGCTCTCCAGAATGCTTCCTGACTCCTTCTCAAACATGGTGGCCGTACCCACCTGGCCCTCAGGTAGTAGAGCAGGTGGTAGCCAATCTTGGGCTGCTTCTGATACAGCTCGGAGAGAAGGTCCAGAAGCAGTGAGAAGCTGCTGTTGTCTTCCTGCATCTGGCATAGGTTCCTAGAGGTGGGAGACAGGAGGAAGGGAGCAGAGCTTCATGTAGGGCAGAGTCTCCTAGGAGCCTGAGGAGGCACGGTCTACTTGTGTCCACTGCACACCCCTTCCTTCCTAGAAACAGAGTCCCATTACCCCAGGACAGAAGCACATGTGTGCTATGGACGGATGGCAGAGCAGTGTCTCCTACAGTTGGATACTCACCTAAATATTAGGTAGAGGGGCTTCCCCACAGATTCCTCCAGGGACCTACGAGAGGAAGGAGGTGATAGATGAGTCCAGGTAAGCGGAGAGGTGGGCTGCAGGCAGCTATCGTGGAGGACCAGCTTGAGGCAAGATGCCGCTGGCCTGCTCCTCTTCTAACTAAAAGTAAATATCCTGCTGCTCTAGTGGCTTGGTTACGGGGGAACTACATCTGGGTTGTCATTGTCATCGAAAGTAAGATTCTTGCCCTTTAAGAAGGATCCAGAACCCTGGCTGGCATAGCTCAGTGGATTGAGCACGGGCTGTGAACCAAAGCATCACAGGTTTGATTCCCAGTCAGGGTACATGCCTGGGTTGCAGGCCACGGCCCCCAGCAACCGCACATTGATGTTTCTCTCTCTCTCTCTCTCCCTCCCTCCCCTCTCTAAAAATAAACAAATAAAATCTAAACAAACAAAAAAAAGTTACAAAAAAGAAAAGAAAGAAGGATCCAGGAAAGGGTTCAGTTCCACCTGAAGGGCTGCTGGGTACAGTGGGGGGGCAGGGCACACAGGGTGGGGAGTGTAGTCCACTGCCCCAGTATGCTCAGCTTTCAGCAGGCAAAAGTAAATCCTTGTTTAGATGAATCAGTACATGTGAGAATAAAAAAATCAGTTGAACGGGTTATTTTTCTCAAGTCCTCAGCAAGGTGCCCCTTGGACTCAGGCTATCAGAGCACACTTCTGGCTCCCAAAGGCCTGGGGGTCAGAAAGACAAGTCTTACTCCTCTGTGACCTCCTCGGGCAGCACCTCCCCTCGGAAGTGGGCCTTGAAGAGCTCCTGTAGGCAGGACGCGAGGACAGACAGCTGCTCTGAGTCAAAGTCTTCCTGGGAAGTGAGACAAGGGACGGAGTATCACCACCACATGCCAGCCTCGCTGCCCCCATTACCCAGACTCACCAGCTTCCACCTTCAGGACCAACCAGCCCCTCTGCCCAGCAGAAGGGACCCACTGGGCAAAGGAAAGGAGGGGGTCAGTTGCCAGGGGGGCTCAAAGCTGGGGAGGCTGGGCTGCTTCCTTTCTAAAGCGATGGGTTCCTTCTTACCTCTAGGACCTGGTCCACAATTTCCTGCATGACCTCACATTGGGCCTCTGTATCACTACAGTGCAGAAGTGAGAAGAAATCTCAGGGACGTAAATGATAGCAGAGGGCAGGACACACACCCAGAACAGCAAGCACACTCACACCCATAGAGACAAAACAAAGGGTCTGTGTAAATCTGGGCTTGTGTGGGGAGGCTTGGGGCAGAATTTGCTGCTCTCTGGGCAGAGGCCCATACAGATGAGAAAGCCCCATAATCCTGCTTCAAAATTCAGGGGCTCATAACACACAGAGGGAGAACCCTGGGTGCGGAGGAATGAGGCAGCCCCACACCAAGTCCACACCCCCGTACATAAATTTGCAGAAGGCATCCTCATGTAGCTTCGGCTACCTCTCCATATACTTACCACATCCCCTCCACCCCACCATTCTACCACCCCACTAAGCACCGGGTAAAGAGGCGGGGACTGGGTGTCCCAGGGCTGAGAACTACACCTACCTGCCCTTCTGTAGCTGGAGCACTTTGTCCCTTAGGGACTCATCCAGCTGGTCAAGGTAAGGGGTGATATCAACTGGCTCCTCCACAACTGTCTCCTTGATAGGGTGGAAACGAAACTCTCTCTTCTTTCCTGAAGGAAGTGATGTGGGAAAGAAGTCACTTTGCCTAGACACCAGCAACAGAGACAGCCCCCTGAACAACCTGTACTCCCTCACAGCGCACTCAGTGCTGTGTGCATGCCCTAGCCCTGAGGAGCCCATAAGGCCAGCCACCACTTCACCTTTTTCCCCTCCTGCTTCAGTGCCAAGTGCAGGGCTCGGCACCTTGAGTCTCAGCCACTATCCCTGTTAACAAAACTAACTCACAGAGGCAAAGGCGACAAACCATGGAGAGGCTGCTCCTGCCAGTGGGTCCTCTGAGGGTGACACACCCTCAACTTCTCTTGCCTACGGCCTCACCTTTGCTGTTGAGATCCTCCTCATCATCACTGAAAGCTGCCTCTGCGTTGTCATAGCAACTTTCATCCTTGTCTGACATATGGTTGTCCATCTCCATGGAAACTGGCTCTTCAATTTTGACTTGGGAAAGAAAGACCAGATATTTAATGATCTGTCTCCTCTAACACATCCCAAGCTTAGAGAAGAGGACCGAAGGGCAAGTGAGAAAATAAACAGTTCATGACCTCAATGGAATACGAACCCTCCTGGGAGGATAAAGGTCTTACCCTCCCAACCCTGCAGGACTTGCAGTGAGATTCTGCCAGGAATAAAACTGCATAGGTCATGACTTCTCTATGCTCAGCTCAGGATCAGTGTGGAGATAAGACCAAGGACAGTCCCAAGTGCTCTTTAATTTTAAACCAAATTGGGAAGTTTTGCTTGGCCTAACCCCTCCCCCCAAACAAAAAGCGTGTGTGTCTGGAACTGGGAGTAAGACTTGAGACCCAACAGGACAGCCTTTCCCCAAGGCCAGGGCCCTGGCCTGGGAAGAGAAGAGGTGGACAAGATCCAAGTAAGGTAAACACATTCCATGCACGTCTCTCCCTACCAAAGACAGGTTAATAAGAGGTAAAATAAGAGTTAAGAGAGATTAGCTCAAGTCAGATAAGACTAGATGGAGAGGGAGAGCCAGGAAGACAACATAAAAATGAGTTAAGAAGAGACCTGGGGAAGGGAAAACAAAGCAGAGTGTCAGGGGCAGGGAGCTGCCACGGACGGCCCCTAAACAGGGGCTCTGTCTGCCTCCCAGCGCTCTGAACGCCTCCACCTTCTGAAGCAGCTGATGCAGTGGGAGGGTTCCATACCTTCCACAGGTGGGCTGGGCGAGCTGCAGAACTCAGGAAACTTCTCCCTCAGCATTGCCCGCAGCTCCTTATCCAATTTAGGGTTGTCAAACAGGGGAGCCAGATGCCTGACGGGAACACGAATGATGGTCAACATCAGAGCTCCTCGCTTCTAACTCGATGCGGACGTAACGGTCTAAGCCCAACAAGTACAACTGGGCTATGCTCAGATCCTCGGAGAGGTAACAAGGGGACAGGGAAGGCATTTGACATCCTTTGTAGTATGGCAGGAGAGACATTTCTTTAAGAGTCAAGAGAACACGTACCCAGCTGTCTGAGGCAGAGCCAGACCTCTCAAGGTAAAGGGTCAGCGGTGGTACAGCAATGTCTGGATGTGCCTGACCCAGTGAAAAAGGGACAACCCTGCCCTCTGCCCACAGACGCTGAAAGTCCTTACGCCAAGACCCGTTTCTCCACAATGTGGTTGAGGGAGGAAAAGACACCCTGTCGCACGTGGCCCTCCAGTGGTGGATAGAAGTTGGGGATGATCTGGAAGGGAAGAAGGGGTGGAGAGAATGAGTAGGGGCTTCCCATCCAGAGTGTCCTGCTGAAAAAGATCTAAAAAACTGCTTAAAAAAAAAGGAATGCTTCATGAGTCTGCACGTCATTCTTGCAGAGGGGACGTGCTAATCGTCTCCATGTAGCTCCAACTTGAGTGTGTGTGCTGCCAAAGAGAGCACAAGCTGCTCTGCTTCTGCTCGGGGGACGCAGGAGTATGCTCGCAGCAAGGGCTGGACTGTTCCTGACCGTTCCAGGCTGCTAAAATGGGAAACTTACTGGACAAGGCTGTTCCTCAGGGAGACTAGATTCTATGTTAAGTCATCATCCCTGAGTCTGAGAAACCTCATGGAGACATGGCAAGACCCATGTGGAAATGGTGGGAATAAAAGAAGCATTCACTAACTTGGGGGGATGGGAACTACAACTACTTCTGCTCCCACAGTCAAGGGGCATTGGGAAGACCTCTTCACTGGCCTAGAACGTTCGAGAGGACACACACCTAACTCTGCTCAGCCAGGCATGAGAAGAAAGCAATGGCACTTACACGACACATGAAGTCCAAGAGTGTGGCAGTGATGGCTGGGTGGGGCTTCATGGAGTGATGCATAACCAGGATGGCTGGTTCTGGAGAATGTGGAATTAAAAGGACCCCCATATCAGAGAGTCTGTTCCCAGCTTTATAAACCAAGTGACCAATGTATATGAATGGCTCCAGAGAACTGGGTCTTTCCTTGCCCCCTATTCTCACTGAGCAAATCCAAAAGCAAACACCCCCCCCCACCCCAAACAGCTAGTAGGCCTCCTCTCCCCTCTTGTCCCCAGTACTCAGCTTGGAGGAGGGACTTAGCAGGAGAGGAAAAGCAGGATGCAATGCAGCCTTTTCCTCTGCAGAGAACCCCCGCCCCCACCCTGAAGTCCAAGCATCAGTCTACAGGGAAAAGCGGGTGGAGCGTTGTCCTCATCAAAGGAACTTTCCTTCTAGGTCAAGGGAACACTGATGAGGAACAACGGAACTGCTCCCAGATAAGCCACCTCCAGTCCACGCTGCCCTGTGATTTATGACGGCTATCACTGAGACCTGGGGTGAGAGGGGTTGAGGGGAGGGCTGGAGGGCGGCACTGCCGGGTCTCAGTCACATACCTATGTTCATAATGCTATCCTTGTCTGGGCTAAAGAACAGCCAGTCATAAAACAAAGCCAGCTTGGCATTAGAGGCAGCAACATTTGACTAGAAGAGAGAGGGGGGAAAAAGAGGGCTAGCATCATCAACCAGCTTGCTTCCCTTCAGGAGCCCAAGACAGATTCCAGGGCCCACAATACTGCTCCCTCTACAAAATTCAGTTCCTAGTGAGACAGAGAGGAACCTCCACAGGGGTAAGGAACACCCAAGTCCGTACAGGAGTGTGAGTACTCTGTGGCCTCACCAACCCAGGCTGAGGCTCGGTCTGGGGTCTCGCACCACCAGTAAAACACACCCTGATCCCATCAGGGAGGACACCTGGGCCTTCGAGTCCCTGGTCATCCCTGAGCTGAGACAGCACTAGTCTGAGCCCTTGTTGGACTCCGCAAGCACATCCTGAGGAGAGACCCCTAGGAATCGCCTGCCGTTCTGTCCCAATCAGCACATTCCAAGGACCCGGTCATCAGATGGGGGAGCGGGAGCCCTGTTAAAAGAGGTCAGAGGGCAACTGAAAGCCAGGAAACAGTGTCCCACCCTGGACACAGGAGGAAAACAAGGGGAAGGAGGTGGCTCTACTGTGAATTTACTGCTTTTGGAGAAGAGAAATCCAAAGCCGATCCCAAAAGGCACGGAAGTGGGGGTCTGCGGAGCACAAACCCTGGATCTGAGAGGGGCACGCCATGTGTGATTTCTGGAAGCAGGGATGCCTGGTAACCCAGGCTTGGGGACTGGCGGTAAAGGCACAGACGAACCTGTTCAGCCTTAAACCCACATGGGAATAATGAGAGCAAGTAAATTTCTAGAGACATGAAGGGAGGGGGCAAAGGCTGAGGCACGAGGCAGAGGGTAAAAGAGGGCCATTGGGGTCGGGGGCTTCGAGAGTCAGAAAGAAGTGTGGAAATATGGGGAACATGAGGGAAGAGGGACCCTTTGCCACCCAATAGCCTCCATGGTCCAGCCTCTCACCGTGCATGTTGTCAGCAGCCAACCAATGATGGCCCATCGGGGCAAGATGTCTGAACTCAGCACTTCATTAGAAGGGTGAACCACCCCGCAGATGTAGCGAATGAGGTCACAGCGCAGGGACTGACTGTCTGGGGTTGACAGGTACTGGCGCTGGAACCAATCCTGGTAGCGCTTTTGTTGACCAAACCGCACCTGGGGGGAGGGGACATTGGAAAAGAGAACTTGGAAGGGAGGGTGGGGTCTCTGGGCAGAGGAAAACGAGCACCATTCAATTCAAGGCTCGACCTAGACCTCAATCTCTTCCCATACCTTCTTCATTATCTAATACTGTCTCTCAAGTCTCCTCTCCTTTGGGAAGACTTCCTGATTTAAATATTCCTTGTTTTTATTTTTATGATCTTTTTTTAAATCAATTAATTTATTTTCAGAGAGGGGAAGGGAGAAAGAGAGGGAAAGAAACATCAATGTGTGGTTGCCTCTCAAGAGACCCCCACTAGGGATCTGGCCTGTAACCCAGGCATGTGCCCTGACTGGGAATCGAACTGTCCACCCTTTGGTGGACAGTCAATCCACTGAGCTACACCAGCCAGGGCTGTTTATGGATTTGAGAAAGAGAGGGACAAAGACAGGCAAACATTGTTTGGGTGCTTCCCATAGGTGCTCTGTGACAGGGGATCAAACCCACACCTTTTTGGTGTAAGGGATGATGCTCCAGCCAACTTAGCCACAGCAGCCAGTGCAATAGTCCTTGTTTCCAAATCATTGCTGAAACTCACATGCTAGTGATGCATTCATTCTTGCCACTGATCTGATGTCACATCATCCGCAACTGCAGTCCACTTTTGACTCCTTACTCCTGTACTAGTCACTGATTCCACAGTCACAAGCGCAATCTTTTATTTTCTTGAGCTACTTGTGAACAGTAAGCAATGTTTCTTAAGAACAAGAGCTGTCTGTTCACCACTCAGCAATGACTGAAAGCTTTCTGACACTAAATGACTTAATAGGATCATTATCCAAGGTACATGGAACCTCCAAATCTTCTTGCAGTTAAGTCCTTCCCCAAATATACTGAATGTGGTTACAAACAGCAACACTAATTAAGGGGAGAGATCTAGTTTTCCTCTTCTAGTCCCCAGATTCAACCAAAACAGAAAGCAGAAGAGTTACACACACACACACATCAAGACCAGTGTTGTCCAATAAAACTTTCCACAATGATGGTGGCTATTGCACACTTTAACTGTAGCTACTGCAACCAAGGTACTGAATTTTTAATTGTACGTAGTTTTAACTATTTAAATTGTAACACACGGCTAGTGGCTACCACATGGGACAGCACAGATCAAGACAGTCCTCCTGGATGACCTCAGTCGTTGCCTAGAAATTCTGTTAGAAATACAGGTTCTTCAGATTCTCTGGGAGGGTAAGATGCAGGAAGATGGATATTTCAGATGCTCCACAAGCAATTCTGCCACGAGTCAGCCACCTTTGGAAACCAAAAGACCAGAGCTCTCCTCCTGAGAGCTCATGGTTTGCCCAGAGGAACAGTGGGTTTTTCAGAATAAACATTCTCTCTCTACCCTTTTATAGCACAGTTCAAAGTCGTAAATTACATGATTAGTTTTGTGACTGCTTCAGATAGGCTGGAAGCTTCACAAGAGTTGGAATTGTCTTTCTTATTCAACACTGCATCCCGGTTCTTAGCAATGCCAGGCGGGCCACACGCACCCGCCCAACCAGCACTCCCCCGGTCAATACTCCATGGTGACCAAGTGGCGGGCCGAAGGAAGAAGCCCGGCTACTGCCTGCAGCTTCGGCCAAAATAGGTGAGCTTACCCGGGAGGTCATGAAGAGGAGCTTAGTCTCCATGTCTGGGGTTAGACGACATGCTAGGAATTTTCGGGACGTCCTTGACTGAAGAAGCTGCAGGATACCTGAACCAAGTGTAGAAGGAAAGAGAAAAGAGAAAAGCTTGGGGACCAGGAAGAATGGAAGGCAGGTGGGGAACCTGGGCTAAGTACTGATGGCCAGTGATCTTCCTCATGGAGAAACTGTAAGGTAAGACCAAGAGAAGTCAAGCCTAGGTACAAGTTGGGATTCTAACCAGCATCTGTATGCTCTGCTGCAATGAACCACCATCTCCAGCACCCAGATATATTAATTCTCTTCTACTGGCCATCACATTATTCCAATTGGCAACACATGGGAAAGTTAGGGGGAAAATATGGGAAATCCTAGCCTCTCTTCCTGCTCCCGATGGTCCCATCACCGCGTCTGGGATCAGTGGGGTGTGGTGGCATAAGCATGAGCTCTGCAGTCAGACAGACCTAGATCCTGCGTCTGACGCTCACTAGCTGTGTGGCCTTGGGAAAATTACTGAATCTCCTTGAACCTCATTTTCTTTATCTGTATACAGAAAGTAAAATATCCATCTTACAGGGAGGTTCTGAAGATTAAATGAGTTACTACACATGTGCCTAGCACACAGTGGGCACTCAAAACAATACTTGTTCAGTGTAAGAGCTGCACAGTATCAGGCAGAACCAGGACTTCCCTCTCTCCTTTCTTGACCTTCTAGATCCTGACCTACTGCTTCCATGTGATGTGTGTACACACACTACGTGCACACATACATCTGTGTTGGAAGTGGGGGGGAGCAAAGCTGTATAGTTATTATTCAGAACATAAGCAGGAACCCAAGAAGGAGAAAGGAATATGGAAAGGACCTTGTCAGAGGAGGCACCCAGAGCCTCTCTCCCTCCCCCAAAGAGGATTTTGACCAAGCTGGATCCTTGGAATTCAGAGGCAAGATAGCTCCTGGGAGGGGCCTTCTCTTACAAGACTAATTCCAGCCCCTCGCTGACTCAGTCTCACGAGCTGACCTCTGACTCCCCTGCTGGACTCAGTGAAGCTGGAAACTGGTCATAAGCTCACCTCCTGAGCCAAACAGCTGCTGGAAGAGGGGGAGGAGAAACGTCCCAGTTCTCTGTCTCACATTTTCTTGGGAGTAATGATAGCTGAAGCCTGCCAAGTAGGGGCTATCTGGGAACCACAAGGCTTGTTCCGTAACTCTGCCATTCCCATATCCAGCTGTACTTGGCAGAGCCTGCCTGGTCCCTAGCTTCCTATATCTGACTGCCAAAGCCCCTCCTACCCACCAATCTCTGCCCTCTTGATTCAGGCAGTACATATATACTGACCTCCCACCTCTCAAGGACAGAATGCCCAACCCTTACTTACCTGTGAACTGAGGACTCAAGGCCTGAGGGTTATGGATAATATCCTTCCAAAGCAGTTCAAATTCTGGTATCCTGGCAACATTCTGAAGTAGTCTTACAAGGTCCCGGCCAATCATCAAACATTCCATGAACTTGATGGGGGTGCAGAGTAAGACAGGAAAGAGAATAAAAACATGGATTGTTTACCTGCTGCAGGGAGGACACAGGAACAACATGTTCTAGGAGGGAAGGAAAGAGGGTCGAAGGGATTACATGACTTCTGCTGGAACCAGGGGACTGGCTCTTTGCTGATCAGGGGAACAGAGCTGGAAGCTGGGGACTGATATCAAGGTGAGAGGTTACTGGAAACTGTTGAAGTTTCCTGGTGGCTTTCACATTAATCTCTTGCCTGCTCCTCTCAAAATTGTTTCAATACAGGGTTAGAGAGACACAATTTTAAAAGGGTAGGATTGGCAAATTGAGCCCTAGACACCTTACCCCAAAACCCAGTGGTCCAACAGAACATTCTGTGGTAATGGAAATGACCTGTATCTGTTCTGTCCAAACAGATACCCATTAGCCACATGTAGCTAATGAACACGTGAAATATGGCTAATTCAACCAGGGAACTAAAGTTTTGTCTGATTTTAATTTGAATTACCACATGTGGACACAGACTACTACATTAGAGAATACAGCCCCAGAGTCATTCACTCTCAGGAGATCTGATAGTGGACAATTCACAGTCTGTCTGACCAAGCAATCACCCAGCTAGGTAGGTGTGGGGGTGACCACAGTAAGCGTATAAGAACGGGCTGTGTCTGTGGTGCACAGGTGTCTGTGAAGCTGACCAGGAAAGTCCCTGGGGCGCCAGAGTAACAGGCAGCATTTTTAGAACTAGGGCCATTCCATACTGGTTCCCCTACCCTTTTACCATCAACTGTCTTAGAATGAGGGAAAAACCAGACCTGAACCACCTCCTTCACTCAAACATGACTTCCCTGGCCCAGGTCGCTGCATAAAACCCATCCGGGTATTCTGTCCTGGTTTCATCCCCACACTGTGTTGTCCTCACCCGTTCCCGAAGCAGTGAGATGCAGAAGTCCACCTCCTTCTGCCGCAGGGCCTGAAGCTGGGCGGTCCCGTGGTGGTCGACAATGAGGCGGAGGTACGTGTAAACGGCCATGGCAATGAGGATGCTACTCTTCAACACCCACTCCCTGCAGAAAGGGAAGACTCTGGCACCTGCACTCTGCTCCTGTCCCCCTCCCAGTTCACCCCATACTTGGTGCAGGGCCTTAGAAATGTCTGATGGTAAGCACTGGGAGCAGGTTCTTTGGTCCCCTGAATGCTCACTCATGCTGTCATTCTCTAGGACTATCAGTTGGCAAACATGGAGACAACTTCCTGCTACTCTACCAGGTGCCCAATAAAGATAAACACCGATGAAAGCAGTCTCTCTTTACCACATAACTGCTTAGCTTCCAATAAAATAATTTTGTTTGTTGACTTACTCATTCAAACCTTTACTGAGTGCTTTTATGTGCCAAGCACACGTGAGGTATCAGGGACAGAGATAAGCCATAGCTACCATCCGGCTCAGATATGGGGAAAAACGTTTGTCAGCAGTTCTTCAAGTGTAGTCTGAGGACCTCCGGGGATTACCAAGACCCGTGGAGGACCCCAGAGGTTTCAGAACACACCGTTTGCACCCTTCCATCACGCTCCACCGGCAGCCCGCCCGGTCACAAGCCCTTCCCTGGCTCTCTCTCTAGCCACTGATACCACTTCCGAATGATGAATCACCTGCTCTAAATCACAATCTGAAAAGAACTTGATTTTGGATGGCAAAGCCCATTTTCCCAGGAGTTTTAGAATTTCTCTGGGGACAAGGGAGTAATGAAAGAATTGAGTGCCCTGCTGCTTTAAAAGGGGTAGAAAGACACAGTGGGGAGATTCCCAAAAGCCCAATGCTGTCTCAAAGTGCCAAGACTGGGGAGCTGTCTTCCCCAAGCAAGTAGTCTGTAGTGGCTTTGGCACCCCCGCTGGAAGAAGGGAACCAGAGGAAGACAGGGAGTTTAATTAATCCAACCAGGCACCACCCTGACTCCGGAAAAGTGCCTGAGCCACCTAATTAAGAGACTCTGGTCTTTTTCTTGCACAGAATGAAAGCAGCAGCCAAGAACACTGAGGAGGGTCCCCTTCAATTCCAAAGCCCTAGGCACACTTGGGAGGGAGGGAGGGAGGGGTTGGGTGTGGAGGAAGACAGCTTTAAACTTCCAGGGACTCTCACCGAAGGACGTGAGTGTTTTAGAGGGCAGGAGAGAAGGCACGGCAGTTACTTGACACTTGTACCCTAAGGCTGCACTTGAATTGACCAAATGAGGGAAATTCAGCTTTAAGCTATGGGAACAAGGGGGTATCTGGCATCAGGAACAAAATAAGAAAAATCACTCCTGAGGAAGATGGCTAGCAGGGGCAATGAACGTTTCTGAATCTTGAGACATGGTGATGAAGAGAAAGGGAGAAGGGCAATCCTCCAACCAGGACAGAGACCTTCTGCACAAAGACCTAAGAGAAGCAGAGGCCTGGTAAGAAATGGCTAGGTTCTCAGGTGTTATGTGATGGTACTAATGATGAATAGAGAGATTCGAGCTGCAGCTGCAGGTCCATGCTCAGGGCGCTAGGTGGCACTGCACAGCAGCCCTGGCACAGCTCTCAAGGTTGGGCAGAGTACAGAATACAGCCTTCTCTTTTACAAGGGTGAATAAGGGAGGAAGTCCATTATTCTAACCGTAGGAAATATGAATACTATTAGCCCTCTCGATTATTTGACTACTATGGTGTCCTTACCCAGAAACAGACTCTGAAATCAAGCAACAGGAAGACTAAGGCCACAGGACCAAGAGGAAGGCCTCACCATCAAACAAGTTCAGCTATGGAACAGCCCTCACAAAACTTCTGGTCCTTTACTTTCATGGGGAAGGGAAAAATATCAGCAAGATAACCCAATATACCCTGCCTTATGCCCTCTCTACCACCGGAACCTCCAAACTCTATACGCAAACTCTAGCAGGTCTCGATCACCTCCTCATTCTCACCTCTCCCGTGCCACTTCGACAAAAGGAGAGTATGGGTTGGATGGAAAGTCTTGGGAGAAAAGGGGTACTTGCCAGGCCTGGGTACTTGGCTGGCCCTATTCTGCTGAGCTCATTCTCCCCTCTCTCCCTGCAAAGATAAACATTCCAAGGAGGTCTGGATCAAAAATAAACCCTTATCAGATGAAACTAGTTTTTCCTGGGCTCTGAGATATTTCAGTGAAGACCTTCTTTCCCATTCCTTCATTCCTTGGGCCATATCATAGCATTAATTCCTTCACTTGCCACCAATACAATCGCCTCTCCCTCCCCTGCCTCAGTCTCTCTAACCCAAGGTGTCTGGGGCTGCCTCACAGTCTTCACACAATCCTTTCACCCCCACTTCCCAAACCTGCAACCCATAAGGCCATATCTGGCTCTTGCCCCACCCTTCACGGGAGACTCTACCTCTGCTCCGTCAGGATATCCAGAACACTTTCTGCCAACCAGATGTTTTTTGCCGTAACATCCCCACCTGATCAAAGGGGGAAAAAATAAAGAATCAGAATGGCTCTATTTATATATTCTTCATCCATCCTGCTGGTCCATCCCTACATGTCATCTCATCAATGATGTTGAGTGTTGGAAAAACTGCCTTTTGATCTGTCAGGCTTTCAAGTTTCCCCCTTGTCTCCAGAGAGAAGGGAAGGGAAGTTTCTGGATTTTTCCAGAAACTAAAGCTGCAACTTTTCCATAGACTTGGGCTGGAGTGGGAATACTGTGACCCTTGAAAGGGAATATCTGGGAAGGAGACATAAAAAGCCCGTGGTTGGAAACAAAGGGTGGTATCTCAGATAGGGCCTGAGAGGTGCAGGTGCATAGTAACAGCTGCAGTCCAGCACATGGGTGATCCAAATCCAGAGTCAGACTCATGACAGGCCAGGGCTTTCTTGTCTCCAGGTAACACAGTCTTCAGGGCTTGCAAAGGAACTTCTTGGGGCACAATTAACATGCGGCAACACTAGACCAAAGTCTAAGGATGAGAAGTGGGGACTGGGAGTGCCAGACAGGGAAGAAAATGCCAGGAGAGTGGGTAAAAATAGCTAGCATAATGCTATGTCTTGCCCCAGGTCCTAATTTAAAAATTCAATGCTCACAAAGTCACACATCACATAAATTAAGGTTTATACACATCAAAACAAGAGCATCAGTGTTATATAAAATCCTAGAGAAGAAGCAAAGACACACTGGGCAGTGGTGAGAGCGAGGCAGCACAGGCAGGCCTCTTGGATATTCAGCGGCATAGACAGATGTCACCAATGCCAAGAAGATAATAAAACCTAAATGTCAGGGTCTGCTCTGTGACATAGTGTGTCCCTCAAACTGGCCCTAATCAGATGTTATAATTATTAGGGAGCAAGTAGTTAGAACATGGGGGTGGAGCCAGGGAAGATGTCTGTGTTTCTGAAAGCACAATGTGTTGCAAACAGATTATTTGCCCTCACTTTTCTTCCCATTCCTTCCGGCTCCTTTCAGGTCCAATACACCATGAAATACCAGAGGCAACTGGCTAGAACAGGCCCACTATTCTATGTCAGGCCCCAAGTTTGGCAGGAAGGAAAATGAAGCAAGACTTACTGCTTCAAAATGCTCCCCACGATTTTTAAATTGCTTTCTCATCGTATGTGGCCAGAAGATGCCTATATTAGAAGGAGATTCTAAATGACCCAGGAATTGAGTCCCTTAGACACTCAATCATTCTCCGTTGCTTGGATTTAGTCTATGGGAGCCTCTCCTTCTTTATGCTCTTGCTATCAAACTCACCAGCAATCTGCTTCATGAACGTCATGCAAACACCATCGGCTCCCAGAACCCCACTCTTCACTAGTTCCCGAACCAACCACACCAACTAAAGGACAGGAGACGACAAATGAAGAGAAGAGCCTGTAAGTCTGAGAAACGGACTAATCCAATAACATTACAATTTAGGAGTACAAAGGTGGGGGTCTGTTACTCCCAATTCCTTCCATTATGTCTTTGAGCTAGATTTCTTTTGTTTCTGGCCTTACCTGAGTACGGCAGGTGTCCTGCAACTTCAAGTATTTCTCCATAAGTATCTGGTTGATTTTATTCAGGACAATATTCATGCCATCACGACTCACCAGAGCCAAGTCCCGGTAACACTGAGAAGAGAGGTTTGTGAGCAGGCAGGAAGCTAACCCCACCCAAAGGGGGCCCCCTGGCCTCCTCAGTTTAAACACCACCAGTACGAGTAGCAACAAAAGACTTTTACTCCGGACACTATTCTTCCATAGGGCTCCTCCATCCCAAACCTATCCCTTGCTTCATCACATGGTGGGGTGGGGGGCAGGTTGCAGACTGAGCTATTTTGTAATGAGGCAGAAAAGCCTGCTAAGAAAGGCTTCCTGTCCCCCTACCTCCCTTCTTAGGAAATGTCACACTGATGCCACAAGCTGAGCAAAACCAGGTGGAGGCCATCTGCTTTTCATCTGCCAGTAAAAGGTCACTGCAGAATGGGTTTGGTTGAACAAGGCAGGAAGGATCACAAGTTTCTAAACCTGTACTGACCCACCAGATGAAGCAAAAGGCTAGGAATATTAAAGGAAGAGATCCAGGGACCTGGGCGCCTAGAAAGAAAGGGCAGAACCAAACTGAACTTCCTTAACTAAATGTCTTCCTTCTTTTCTCTGGGCTGCCCTTTGCTTCTGCCAAGTATTGAAAAATGAGGTGTCTTTATGCATACTCACTCCAGGGGGTGGTGAAGGAGGGCATTCCAATTTCCTCTGAGAGTTCTTGCTTCCCTTTCCCCAAGAGCTTTTCTCACCCGTTCTCTCTAGAGACCAGACTCCTAGAGGTATACCTTAGGGGACCTCATTAACAACCTCCTCACCCTGCTGAGTTCTATGCTGTCGGGGTTTTGGCACAAAGGGTAAAATTAGGCAAGTAGCACTCCACGACCTTGAAAGGCTGGCAGAAGAGTGACATCAACCATAATAGCAAATATAATAGCAATTATAATGCACTGGCATTATGCACAAACTTTGTATTATATATATATAATTGCATCTGAATTACATAACAACTCTTTGAAATAGGTACTATTTATTCTTTATGTTTATGGGTGAGGGAACAGGCATAGAGAAGTTAAAACAATTCAACACACGTCATATAAGAGATAAGAGGAAGAACCAGGATTCAAGTCCAGACAGATCAACTGTAGATTCCATGGTCTTAAACCACTCCACGCTGCTGTTAGAAAGAACTAAAAGAGGGTGCTGGGGATGCGAATAAGAGATTACGGTGGCTTTCATACTACATATCTAAACTCTTTCATCCTAAGTGGTCAAAAGAGAAGTACTCCTCAAGACCAGCTGCTCCCTGGCCTTGGTGTGACTAGGGACTCCTAAGAGATTAGCTACCGTCACTTCCTCCTGTCTCTAGCGTCCTTCTGTCAAACCAATTAAAGTCATAAAAATACCAATACTTAGGGAATCCCACCATGTGACACAAACTTTCCATACCCACAGAGAATCTGATTATCCCCTGACTCCATCTGGGGGGAGGACAGAGAGATCAAAAGTACCAGCCAGGGAATGGGAAAGAGATAAGGGAGTCCAGTGAACTACAGCCAACCTGCCATCAGTAGATGTTGGTGTTTCAGCCCTGGAGCCTCCCACAGGGTGTGAGCCACGGAATGGGCAGAGAGAATGAGGGAGCCAGAAGCAAAAATCTATGTCAGACCAAAGACAGAAACACTACCAACTACAGAAAATAGGCCCTGTCTATTCCATAGAAAGCAGAAATCCCAAAAATGCAGAACAGACCCAGAGCAGGGAAGGAGGAAAAGTCTCTCAGGAGACACAGGGTCAGTGGAGGAAGCAGATACTGTCTGCCTGATTTCGTGCTCCCTCTGGGGCCTTATCTACCACAACTGCTGGTAACACACAGCAGCTGGGAGCCAGGAGTATTGTATTCCCGAGGCTGCCCATTTTCTCACCAATCTCTATGCCTGTCTGCCGCCTGGCTTGGAAGAGAAACAGATGGGGGTGGGGGGGGGGGGACTCAGTAGGGAACAGAGAAGAGGAGAGTCTCAAAGAAAGGAAAGGAAAGGAAAGGTGACAGGATGGCACTGTGGCAGCACATCCGTCCTGACTCTGTTGAGGGCAGATCTTCCAGCCTTGGCCCTCACAGCCCCAACTTTCTGGAGCTGCCTGCTTAAGGAACTGTATCTGGACCGAGAACTGCCAGGGGTCCCTGACCCCTTGACGAGACCTTGGCATTGATGTTAGACACTTCCCTTCATCTACTGACTGCTAGAGCCCGCACAGAAGATCAGGCCTCCAGCTTAGCTTCTCCTCTCACCACAGGCCTTCAGCAAGGCCCACTCCCAGCTATTCAGTTCAGATAGCAAGTAAGAAATAAAGTCAAAGAATATAAACATTCCTAAGGGTTGCTAAAAGGGCTGATACAAGTGAAGGTACAACTGGAACAAAATCTACCCCATATTCCACTCTGCACCAATACCTGATCTGTTTGCTCCTTAACTGAGTTCTTTTGTTCAGTCCATCCGAATTCCACCCACTGAGAAGTCCTAGAGAGCCGGCCCTAACTCCTTGAACCTGCCTGCCAGCACTGACACAGGCCTCTCACCTCACTTTCCCAGAGCAAATTTCTCATGTGTTCAAGACTTAGTTTCTACCACCACCTTCTCTATTATCCCCCATGAAGATGCAGGAAGAACTGAATCTCCAATCCATCCTGAGATTTGTTCCAGAGATAGAATAAACCCCAAATAAACCCTCAGAAAATACTTCCCTTGATTTAGGCTGAAGCCAAGGATCAGCCCTCATCAGAAATTCCCACCTAAAACTTCTGCAGGACAGAAATATTTCACAACCTAATCACTCTCGTAGGGGGAAGGATCAAACATGATGGGAGATATGTCACTGGTTCTTCCACCATAATCTGACCTGGCTGAAGGTCTCTGAATGAATCACTGTTGGTTCTTCACTTGCCCAAAACTATGTCCTGTTACCCACCTTCACTCCCTTTGTCTGAAGAGGCCTGACCTGGGAGCCTAACCACCTAGAGGGCTTCCAGGTAGAAGATTTTAGAAACCTTTAACATGTGCACACAAGCCTGGTGCAGCCATCAACCATCAGAGAGACCCAAGTTGAGGCCAGGGTGACTGTCACAAGGCTGTCATAGAATAAAAAGAAGACAAGGTACTCTAGTCCCCTGCTGTGCCTAGACGGCCAGATTCACAACATAATAAGCATTCATACTGCAGAGCCCTGAAACTAGAAATACCCCCAGCACTCTGCTCCTCTGACTAAGGTTTACTTATTTACCCTCACTGATTCAGATCCCATCAGAAATAAATTAAAAAACCAGTGAGCAAGATACCTTTGCATTAAGATGATTAAACAAGATTTTAATTGTATTTATGAAACCCACGGAAGAGAAAATTAAACCCTAACTCCAATCCCTTCACTCCCATCTTTGTCAACAACTTCTTTAAAACAGTTGCTGGACTGGGTCATATCACTGTTTACTACCACCAAACTGGAGGTATTCATTTGTCCTTAAGGATCTTGATGATAAATTCAGTATGAAAATGAAATGCCAATTTAACTCCACGAGGTCTTAGCCCAGACATGGCCTCTGAAACCAAGGACTTGTGAGTGCTTGCTCCCCGCCCACCCCCCGACCCCGACACACTCACACCAGACCAGCAGGCATCAGAAGAGCACAAATACATCCGGTTGCTATGCCTGTAAATCCTGCCACTGTCCTTGTCCCTGGGAATAACTTTTCTTTGGTTCTCCTTGAATAAACAACAATGTCTCTGACCTCCGGTTATCTTACAGGTAAGATACACGTAAAACTGGGAACGGTTTGGGGAGAGGGGACAGAGCCACCAACCTCACAGGGCTTTCTGGGAGGACTGAGTGAGATCCTGGCTGGAAGAGCCTAATACAATGCTGGGCACAGAGCATATCTGTTTCTTTCCACACTTCCCTTGCTCAGGAAAGGGCCAGGGAGAATGTTCAATTCCCCACTCCAAGTTCTTCTCTGTTAGCGACATACAGTTAGTGCCAAATATCAAACATATGCTTCTTTTTTCCCCCCGCATTTTTTTATTGTTGTTCAACTACAGTTGTCTCCACTTCCCCCACCACTCCCCCCAATAGACATACACTTCTAAGCCAACATGCCAAGGCTCAAGGAACACAAAATTGCTAGAAAGGGGAAATGTGAAGAGGCAAAAGACAGAATTTTGCTATTTTATTATAGAAAGAACAGAATCCACTAAGATCATCCCTCCCAGTCACTCACCTCAAGGAAGCACCCCATTTAAACCATTCTACATTCTACATACAGGAAGCTCTGTTTGTGAAGCACCCCAGAGGAGTTTTCATGCAGTATTCCTCAGGAAGTCTAATTCCAGTTACTCCAGTGTTCTCTTACTCACTACCCTGCTGCTGTATCAGTCACCCAACATTAAGCTGTCTGACTGGAGTCCTACTGCTGCGATGGCAGGCCTACTTTCTAGTCACCTGCCAATACAGATCCTGAAAACTAGAGGTCACGCTGTTCTAGGTAGGAACTCTTGGTTACAGTTGTTCTCTCCTATTTTCTGGATTACATCCCAACTCTTCTAGCCTTGACTAGTAAACTTCAAATCTGAAACTCTTTAAATGCTTTTTCACTTTCATAACTGTCTTTTCCTGCCTTTTAGTTTCAGAATCTAGAGCTAGAGAAAGGACTTTAGTCGGAGAATGACTAAATTCACTAAGAGTAAAAAACTACACTCAGAACGAGGTGATCCAGCTCGGTCAGAGGGGCCTGTAGTCTGCCAATGAAGCCACAGCTATGTTCCACCAGATTCCTAGATCACATCTGAGAAGGGTTTGTGGGTCCAGAGCAGGGTGTCTTACCTTCTGGGCTTGAGCAGGTTCAGTGAGGACAAGGGTGAAGAGACCTAGGCAGATTTCCTCATGCTGGGGGGGACCTTTGCATACCTGGAATATGAAGAAAGAAAAAACTGGTTGTTACTCATAAAAGGAAAGTCCTCAAGCACAGTTTCTCCCAGAAAACTTGAGACTCCTGAAAGGAGAATCATCTACAAAGGAGAATCATCAACTCTTAAATCTGATGACTTCCTTCTTCTAAAAGTAATGGGGCATCTATTCTAAGGGAGAGGTAGTAAGAAAGGATGGATCCTTATTGCTTTCTCCAATGCTTGATGCAGACCAGGGGCAGAAATGAAGTGTTTAAAATGAAAAACAAAAAGTCTTCCTCCACCTTCTTCACCAGAACTCAAAAGCCTCCAGTAAAGCAGGACCTGCAAAGAGTCGGTCACGGAGTGACAAGCACAACTACCAAGCTAAGATCTCAGGCAAATCACTGAACCTCTGGCACTTGTAAGCTGAAGACGTAAGAATAAAATAATAATAAGTAGGTAATACTTATGGAATATTCACTGTGTTCCATTATTCTAAATTCTTTATACATACTACTTAAAATCCTTTCAGCCTCACATATCAGGAAATGTAAAAGCTCACATATGTAAGAATGGTTTACAAAGAAAAAAAGTCACTATAGAACTGTGAGTTATTACTTAAAGTTGTTATTTAAAGACACCTAAGGCTTGCAAAGATGAACTCTCACACTGAGAAAGAGGAGCGGCTAAACCTGGTTTGGAGAGCCAAGACACTGACTTCCGTTCCCTAACACCTTGCTACTTAAATCTTTCCACCTTTCCGATCACGTCTCAGAGCTTTCTGGACATGGGGACAGCAGCATACTCACGTAGGCATTAAGGGCATCATTGGCCTCTCTCTCTGAGACACCAGCAGTCATTGACGTGACAATGCTCATACATCTTTCCAATCTCTGTGAATGAATTGAGGAAAAATTAAGAGTGTTTCATACCACCACCAATAAAATACTTCTGGCCCCCCAAAAAGTTTTAGAAAATTCAACCTCATCATGTTTCTAGAGCTAACTACCAGTTTATAAGTAATATCATCATGGGAATAAAATCAACAAAGTCCAGAATGTAGACAATGTAACAGGTGACCTGGTTTCTTTAACACGTAAATAGCAAGGAAAAAAGGCAGGGAGAGCGAAACCCATATATTAAAAGATACTTAAGTCCTGGCTGGTATGGTTCAGTGGACTGAGCGCAGGCCTGGCCTGCGAACCAAAGGGTCGCAAATCTGATTCCCAGTCAGGGCATATGGCTGGGTTGCGGGCCAGGTCTCCAGCAGGGAGTGCGGGAGAGGTAACCATACACTGTTGTTTCTCTCCCTTTTTCTCCCTCCTTTCCCTTCTCTCTAAAGTAAATAAAATCTTTAACAAGAGAGAGAGATGTAAAATTATAACCCATTAAATAAAATAAGAATCTATGAGTCCATGATGATAGACACATACATCATAAAGGAAGGAGAGCTCTTCTATACCTGGAATGCCAACTAATAAATGCAGAAGGAATAATAGGGGTAATAATCCAGGCAAATATCAACTGGTTGCTAAAAGCAGAGGTAAAATTTTCACAGGAAAGAGGATATTTATATAGGTTCAAAATACTTATTAATTACAAAGGGAAAATAATAACTGTAGGAAACCCTCGAGGATACCACCTTAACCAAGTGACCAAAGTTATTATGGCCAGTAATGAGACAAAATGATACCTGATACTCATGCCTCTGATGCGATACACTGAAAAGCCTATCACATCACTTCTTTGATTTTCTTGCCAAAAAAAAAATCATCTCAGTCTAATCATGAAAAAACTTCAAACAATCTAAATTGAAAGATAGTCTACATAATCACTGGCCTGTCACAGTGTTTAAGGTCGTAAAAGACAAAGATAGACTAGGTATCTATTTCAGATTAAAGATTTAAAGAGACAGCATACCAAAATGTGTGATTCTGGACTGCGATAATGGACATTACTGGACTGGTAAAATTTGAATCTATACTATAAATTAGGTAATAGTAACATATCAGTGTTAAGGTGTTCAGATCTTACTAGCGTAGCAGTGGTTCTATAACAGAAGACCCTTGTTCTTATGAAATATACACTGAAATATTTAAATCTAAAGTGGCATCACGGTTGTAATTTACTCAGAAGTTAATATGTAGGGATATGACAAAGCAATGTGGCAAATGTTAAATTACTGGTGAATCTGGGTGAATGATATATGAGAGTTCTATGTATTATAATTTTTCCCTAAGCTTGCACTTATTTTAAAAAATAAAGTTACTTAAAAATTAAAAAGCTGCTCCCTTCTTCCCCAGCTCTCTTCCCTTCTCTCTCTTCCCTCAAGGGAAATTTCTTTTTTAAAAGACAAAAAATTTAAAAACATAGCAAGGGAATGCAACATGTAGTCCTTGTCTGATTACTGATATGAACAGACCTATTATAAAAAGAATTTATGAACAATCAAGAGAAATTTGAGCCCAACTGGTGTGGCTCAGTTGGTTGGGCATTGTTTTGCAAAGCAAAAGGCCACACCAGTTGGATTCCTGGTCAAGGCACATGCCTGGGTTGCAACCAACTGATGTTTCTCTTCCTTTCTTTCTTCCTTCCTTCCCCTCTCTCTAAAAATAAAGTCTTTTTTTTTAAAGGAGAGAGATTTGCACACTGATTTTATTATATTAAGGAATTGTCAATATTTTTAGGTAAGGTATTGAAGTTATTTTCTTTAAAAAGTCTCTCTCATAGGTATATGAAGTACCTACAGATGGAATGATGTCTTGGATTTGCTTCAAAATAATCCAGACAAGACTAGGGGAGATAAAACGAGATTGCTGTGTGCTAATAAGTACTGCAGCAGAGTGATGGCTACATGGAAATTACTCTTCTCTTTACTTGTTTATGTTTGAAACGTCCCCCTCAAAAAGTTAAAAACAAACTTAACAAAACGAACGTAAGGAAAGAAAAGGACTAATGGAAAACCGAAGGCCCAACTGAAACCTGCCAGCATCTCTAGTCAAACAAAGGTGGGGAGGGCTGCATTAAAGCCCATTCATGAGCCACTCTGGCATCAAAGGTCAACTCTCTAACGTGACATGTGATCAACATTCTAAGGAGATCTTAGCCACTGGTCCCTGTTCCAAAGAAGCATTTAATATTACATACTGAGAAAATATTGGCAAAATATATCCATGTTAAGTCAGTGGGCCTCTTCATTATCACCACTTAAACTAATGCCTGAGTCTTTTATTTTGAGGATTAACCCAAAAACTTTTTAAGGAAAATCATTTCCCAATTCCTAGTGATGATGACTCTGGAAAAACAAGGACAACAGCAGGCCATTTACTTCCCCCTGATCCTAGGGGGCATCACATATAGCCAGTTTTCAGCAAAACATCTTGCTGAAAACTGGCTATACCACAGCATTGTGAGGAACTGGCAAACAAGGACAATGGGAGAGAGGCCTAGGAATGCAGACAATCATCTTTCTCCTTTGACCATCATCGCTGTCTGAAAGTGTAGGGCGACACAGGGTAGAACTGAGTGTTTAGGCAAAGAGCTCCCATAACCACAAAACTTCAACTTAAAATAGGCCCAAAGCCACTCAGGATTGAACATATTACAACTTCACCATCCAACATAAGGACTACCCCTCAAATTAGGTCAGAACAGAGTGCTCAGCCTTAATCAACAGCACCTGCGTACTTGTGACAAGGAGCTGTGAGATCACATGAAAGCTGAGCTGTGACTCTCACAAACCCCCTTACCCACAAGCTGAGATACACTGTTACGTAGTATAGCTTCTATATAATAAAGGGAGGGAAAGAAAAGCTCAGGATGGATTTTCTCTTCTTAAATCTTATCCCTCTCCACTCAAGGTAGTTAGTTATCAATGACAGCGGCACCAGTGCCTCCAGCAGCTAGGTACACACTGTTTTTGCTGGCAGCTCTTGGAGGACCTGCTTACCTGGCCTAGGTTAACAAGGAGTATCAAAGTGAAGACACATAGGGAACAAGCAGCAGCACAGCATCCTAGAATTCTAGATATTGCTTCCTCCTCAAAGGAAGAAATCTGCTGAGTTGTCAGATACAAGTCAAATAGCGGCAAGCTAATGAGCAAACTGACAAGGAGAACCCCTCCACCACTTGCTAGCCTTGGGCTCATCTGGGGTGAATTACTTAGCCTCTCTAAACCCTGGTTTTCTCATCTGAAAATACAGACGAAGTCTGTATCATGAGGTTGCTGAGGATTAAGTGAGATAACACAATGTGAAAGCACCTACCATATAGCCTCAATAGAATTAGAATCTACTCCCTTTGTGAGAGGAATTAATTAAATTAATTCAGCAACTGCACGACTAAATCTATGAGGACCAGACTGACCTCCACACCCCCTGCCACTATGGATAATGCTGCATCCTTAAAGATTCCTGAAAACTGAACCTGCTACTACAGGACACGGGTTACATCCCTGGCCAGGCTGAAAAGCTTCCTCTTTTACTTACCATCTTTAAACTTTTGCCTTCTGGGGAGAAAAGCATAGGGGAGAATGGAGGAAACCTGACTGATGAACCCTGCACCAAGATCCTAGTGCGAAGCCAGATACCCAGCCCTCCGGCCGGCCAAGTCTTGGCTGTGATATGAGAGACCCTGGATTGAACTAGATTCCCCTAGTTTAGTCCTCAATATTCTAAGCTCCACTCAGAGGCTTGAGGCAATTCTATGGGTCACTGCTCAATTAAGAAAAAAAGTGGCCTCTTGGAATAGAGAGGCCCAGCTAAGGATGTACAAAGTGAGCGAGTTCAGAATTTGGATGTGTATATTAAAAGCAATGAGGAAGGGAATATGAGAGCCAGTCCCTTCAGGCAACACAAGTATAAAAAATGCGATGCTTTCCGATACAACAATTGCTTATCCAAACAGGTATAGGAGACTAATTACAAATTGTTCAGGGGGACAGGACCACCTCTCCTCAAAGCAGGCTGTAGGAGGCCAAATCTCTACAATTGAGTCCCCCTCTTCCCCTGGTCTCCGGAGGCCCCAGCTGCTGGCAAAACAACACTGTTTAGAGCACGGCCTCCACAACAGCACCTCAGAGAGCTGAGTAAATATTTACCATCTCTAGGAACTTCCGAATTAATTTTTCTAGTACTAAGAGTACCTGAACATGGTTTCCATGGCAGCAGCAGGAGGTGGAGTAGGGGGGATGGGATGGGAGGTGGCCTTCCAGTTTGCCAGTATATACCTGAAGCTGGAGATTGAAGGCAGAGGGATTCCCTCTAACCTGCTTCCCCTCTCTCAGCCAGGTGTGGTAAAAAGGGCATATTAAATACTACCCCTTATGGAAGACAGTGAATGGCCCTGAAGGACTAAATTCTACAATCTTCACAAAAAAGAAGATATCCAATAGGCAAAATCCCAAGGACCCACATTGGTAGTTATTGAACAAGCTGGGTTCCAAGTATTCCACAACCAAGAGTCACTTGTATGTGAAGTGAGGATTTAAGAGGAAAAAATTAGAGATGACTCAAAGCCATTCCCTAGAGATTCCTAACAAGAATTATTTCCTTGGAGAACACCTGGGACATACCTCGAATCAAAGGTAACTCAGACCTGTCTCTAGCTTAAGTTTTGACTTATTTGGGCCACAGCTCCTGCTTTTGGCCTGACCTCCAAGGGGACAGAGTCTGAAGCAGAGGAAAGACCTGGAACTGAGAAGGCTTATGAGACTAGGAGCTACATGTTCTAAACGCCTCCAACCTCTGGCACTATTTTTATCTCATTCCCCAGATGGGGATGGGGATGGGCAAGAATTCCCTCTTCAAAGACAGGAACAGGGCCAAGGGGAAGAAAGGATACAACAAATGCTCCCTTGGGAAGAAGAGTCACAGTCCCTGCCTGGGGTCCTCCTCAGCAGTGCTTCACACTCCAGACCCCTAAAGGGCATTTTCTCATCACGCCAGCTGTAACAACCTGTCTCTTTACTACGGTAACGTTTTTACTATTTTTGTTGTTGTTACTGTTTTGTTAACCTTCCTACAGGTGTGAAAATTCAGTCTTTAGATGATAAGCTCTGGAAAGCAGACCTTGGGTCTCCCTCACCCTGCTTTCCTATCAGACTCAACACACAGTAAGCACATATGGTCAGGAAGTTAAGTCGGTGTTCCTGGGCAATAGGTAGGCCTATGTTAGAAAATAACCAAACCAGAACAATCAGAGATCAGTCAGTCAACATCAGGTTTGGTAACTTGTGTGTGCAGACATCTGTGGGGAGACCCAGAGGAAGAAGCCAGTAAGTCTTGCCCTTAGAGACACTCTGGTCTAATGGGAACCACACACATGGGGTTAAAAACAGAGTGGCAAGGCTTGCTGGAAAATTCAAATGCAAAGGACAAAGTGCAAAGACAGAAAGGGGGGGGCCTAAGACATGTTGGGAAATATCCATACCACAAAGGATTTCAGAAAAAAGAGACCCTCCCCCCTTCTCCCTGAAAACAGTTGAAAGTTCACTCTCAGACAGTCCAAAAAAGCAAGAAACGCTTCCCTCTTTCCTGGTCCCCTCCTACCATACCAGTTCATTTACTAGCAAACGCATCACTGCTCGGAACAACAGGATGCTGTACTGCTCTGTGACACAAATCAGAGCAGAGGCAGAATGACCCCTCTAGCAATCAGGGTGGGAAATAAACAGATTTTCATCCAGTTTTGGGGGTCTTTCCCTCTCCACTCAAACTGGTGGAGGAATCAAAGGCAGGCAGCTCTTTTCTTTCTACAATTCTAGAGCTCCAGTATTAGAACAAAGGGCTCAATAAACACTTTGATGATGACAGTACTCATTTCTAAATAAGTGGACAACTCAAACTGCCAAGCAATCCTAAAATCACTGTTTGGGACTATAATGTTTTTAGAAGCAGTGTTTATGTTCCTAACTGTATCTACCTTAAATGATAAAAATAACAGAAGAAAATTTTGATTTACCTAAAAACACAAAGAATTATGGGGGAGAAGCATGATAGGAAGCCAGCCTGTGAGTAGCCATTTGCTGATAGATAATCTGCAAAGTTGCTATCCAGCCACCTCTTGATTCACAAAGTTCATTTTTGTATATATGTTCCACCATCTCTGAACATTTTTTCAAATATAAATGATCAATTCCACTTATCTGCTTGCCCTCCCTGTAGCACCTGATAAAGGGCAATGACAGTCAGAAGCAGGGAAACGGCCAGTGAAGAGCCACAGCCTAACTCATCCTGTCCCTGGCTAAGCACCAACTGCACATATTAGGTCCTATAAACAGTTCAACAATCATGTCCCAGTTCTGGGTCTCATATTTCTAAGTATGTGTCTTGGTGCGTGGCAGTGGAAAGAGATGCATGATCAACTCTGGGTTGTCAGGGGACAGGGGAAGAGGAACAAATGGGGGAAGGGAGGGGTCAACTATCCCTAGTTTAAAGTCCTCATTAAGGTCCATTCCATTGCCTCACTCCACCCTCTTCCTCGGCATCTATGTGCTCATTCTTCTGTGTGTGCGATCTGGTTCTGGTCCCATTCACCCCCTACCCCACTGCTGCAGTTGATGCTAACTAAACACTACTCGCTTTTCCCTAAGTCTTCACTCGTTCTAAATTCCCACTTAAGGGAGCATTTGAGATCTTGCTCCCTGGTGTATCATCAGTTTGGCTCAAATAAACTATTGTAACAATTCATAAACAAATACCCAGTTAACATCACTGGCAGCTGATTGTGTCTAGGTGAAGTCAATACTGTTTTGACAGAAGAGTCCAAATGTGCTGCAAGTTCCCTATCAGCCCCTAAACACCTACACACACATACATCACTTCTCAACTCAACGTATGACCTGAACTGAAACAGGGTAAACATTAAGGATAGCCGTGGCCTGTACGTGGAAAGGAATGCCAAAAATAAATTAGGTAGATCTGGATACTGTATCCCTTCCTCAACACCCCCCCCCATTTTCATATCAATGGCTTCTGTTGCTATGACAACCTGTCCAGGAAGTTGGCCCACACTACTTCCTCGAGGAGCAGGAAGTCTGGAATAGTGTTTGTGTTGCCTTAGAAAAAACTTAAAGGCCTCCTGCCCCACCCCCACCCCGTATCCGCTCCAGTATCCCTCCTCAACCCAATTTCTTAGCTCCCTTCCCCACCCCCCACACCTACCTCCTCTAACTCATCCTTGGCATCCAAACTGGTTGAAAGTAGCAGCCTCCCCCCTCCTGGGGCTCCTGCTCCCGCTCCTCCTGCACCTCCCGCTGCTCCCGAAGCAGCAGCTGCTGCTGCCCCCTTTCCCTTCTGTAACTCCATGGCTGCAGCCAGGAGACGGGAAAAGGCCAAGGAACGGATGGGTGGGAAGTCCTGAAAATGAGGAACTCTGGGTTGCCAGAGACTGGGGGCAAGAGGGACTAGTGGGGGAGGGGAGGGAATGGGTCCCTGTCCTCTCCTCTCCTCTCCTCCCTCCTCTCCGAAAGGCCGTTCTGGGGAGGCGAAGGCTGACGGCCCTCTGGAGTGGCAGCGCTGAGGAAAAGCGGTTAGCTCCTCAGTATGCTGAGGTAAGGGTCTGCGCCCCTACGGGTGTGGTAGGAGAGGCTTCCGCCCTGAAGAAGTGGAAGGTGAGCCCCTTCTGCCTTCTGACCCTAAGAGAAGTAGGGAAAACCCTAAGTTTCTGCCTCAGGAGGTGGGCGAAAGAGGAGTCCTGCCCCGAAGTAGGGGGTCGGAAACCTTCTTGGCTGGTGCCCCAAAGATTGGAGAGCGAGGCTCCTTTGGATCCGGCCCCCCAGGGGTGAGGGTGAAGCAGTAAGCGCTACAGAAGGGCACCCAGGACCAGCTTCTTCCTACACCATAGAGAGACGGCCATGGTGGAAGGGCGGGGGATGGGATGGCTGAGGGCGACGGCTGGGGAGGGAAGGAATCGTGGAGGACCGCGCCGGAAGTGAGCATTCGCGGTCGCCGGCCTCCACCAATAGCGGCTTCCTCGGTGGCGTTGAGTCTCAAAGGAGTAGGCAGACGACAGCCGGCCGTCCTTTTCCCCGGGTGCCAATGGTATTGGGGAGAAGGGAGACCGGTATGATTGACAACTGGAACACCCAGCCGTTTCCCTCCTTTGGCCTTGGAGGGCGGGTCGGGCCGACTTCCGGAGGTGGGGGTGGGAGTGCAAGGTGACCAGGAAGGAGCGAGGCTGCGCCTGCGCGCTCTGACGCGCATGCGTGGCGCTAGCCTCCGCTCTCTTTTCCTCTCTCCATCTGGGGTTTAGGAGGGTAGGTAACGGGGTACTCTCTGTACCGCGAAACCCAAAACCTAGCTAGGAATTGGCAGATAGTACCGTGAGAGAGTGCGGAGTTATAACTCTAGGCATTTCCGGAGTAAATTCCGTTAGATGGTATGGAGCCAGCTCCCGGAGCTGAAAAAGTAGCTCACAAGCTAGTGTACGGGCTCTTGCAAGTGCAGTTAGCAAGACGCTGCATAAATAAATAAATAAATAAATAAAATTCATGGAACCGCTTGTGCAAATCATACAGTCGTGCTAGCACTAGATCTTGCAAAATTTTATTAAACAACGAAATCATTTCCATTTCTGAGTGTCTGGGACTGACCCCTGCCCCTCTAGTCATTGTGCCCTCAACCGCAACCCAGTGAGGAATGTTACCATCTGTTGTAAACACAGTGTAGGCTTGATTACAGTGAGTCTGATTCTCCTTGGTTCCCCATTTGTACGTCTCAGTAGCATTTCCCATTTGTTTCAGGAGCGCTTTATCCAAAGGCAGATCAAATTTAACTATTTTTCATACCTACTATACTTTTCAAAAATCCTATCTCTTGTTTTACTTTATAAAATGGGGCAAGGTCTTTGAGTGGATTAAGGTCTGTGAGTAGACTAATGTGTGTGAGCTTTTTTTTTTTTTGAGATACATTGATTTGTTGTTCCATTTATTTATGTATTTATTGGTTGATTCTTGTATGTGCTATAACTGGAGATCACACCCGAAACCTTGGTGCATACAAACAACACACTAATCAGCTGAGCTACCTGGCCAGGGCTTGAGCTCCCTTTTTAAATTGGAAAACATTGCACAGATATTAGTTATCACTATGGGTGATCTTATTTGTTGTAATGACTTAACATTTTAACTATATATACAAGGTATGTCCAGAAGATATCCAGCCATGTGGTGTGAGAAATAGAGACATTTATTGAAGAAGATATAAGAAACATTGTGCATACCACAATGACACCTCAGTTCCCTTCAAAGTAGGCATCTTGGGACTTCACACAATTCACCCAGTCACCATCAGCTGTCCTGTTATATTTTCTTGAATCTCATTGATTGTCTGAAATCTCTTGCCATTCAAGGGTGATTTTAGCCATGGCTGATGTGGCTCAGTGGATTGAGTGCTGGCCTGCAAACCAAAGGGTTGCTGGTTTGATTCCCAGTCAGGGCATGCCTGGGTTCCTGGCCAGGTCCCCAGTAGTGGGTGTGTGAAAGGCAACCACACATTGATGTTTCCCTCTCTTCCTTCCCTTCTCTCTAAAAATAAATAAATAAAATCTTTTTTAAAGAGATTTAGTTTTGGGAAAAGTCACAGGGCACCAAATCTGGGCTGTAGGGGGTCTGAGTCACCTGGGTGGTTGGACATTTGGCCAAAAATCTCTACACAAGACGTGATGCATGAGCAAGCACATTGTCATGATGAAGCTGCCATTCACCAGTTGCCCATAGCTGCAGCCTTCTCAATCACTGAATAGTTTCTGTGGAGGAATGTTCAAGCTTAACACAAAATCTGATGCAGATTCATTGCTCTAGTCGCTCAGTTGTATTGAATGTGACAGCCACACAGTGCACGTGCTCACTCAAGGGCATCTACTGCCCCCACCGACTAGTACAGTGAAGTTGTCATTGTTCATGTTTGCGCATTCCAGCCCACTCTCCTTGGCTGCCAGATTCCATTGATGTTGTGCAAACCATTCTTGTTATATTAACAATGGCTGGACTCTTTCTTGACAGACCTCGTACACTTTTATTGAAGTGCTGTGTGCAGTCCTTTAAGTTGACTTTCATTCATTCCTTTATTGTATGTATTAGCTGAGTAACACCTTAGGCAAGTCATTTAAACTTTCTGTAAATTATGTTACCTATAACATAAGAGGTGGACTGGCTGATCTCTAAATACCCTTCACCCTCTGAAAGTTCTATTGAATATGCTCTGGATTCCTTCTAGGTGCAAAGTACTACATTAGCCACAAAGAATACAAACTTAAATAACATTGCTATGGGTCATGGGAAACACAAAGATACATTGTTGGAAAAAACCCACTATATATTCATGCTACTATTTGTGTGTGGGTTTTTAAAAGAGAACTGGAGGAATATATCATCAGTATTTTTGTAAATACAGAGACTTTTTGGAAACATACACAAAACCCCTGTAATATTTGTTGTCTCTAGGTAGGAGAGGGGGTGGAGATAAACTTACATTTTACTGCCCTGGCTGGCATAGCTCAGTGGATTGAGCTCGGGCTGCGAACCAAAGTGTTGCAGGTTCGATTCCCAGTCAGGGTACATGCCTGGGTTGCAGGCCATGACCCCCAGCAACCGCACATTGATGTTTCTCTCTCTCTCTCTCTTTCTCCCTCCCTTCCCTCTCTAAAAATAAATAAATAAAATCTTAAAAAAACCCTTACATTTTACTGTATGTACTTTGATGGTTTAAGAAGAGGTCTTATGAGCACCCAGCAAGATGGTGGGGGCCTACAAGCCAAAAGAAGAGGTCTCAGAATGAAACCTACCTTGCTAGCATCTTGATCTTGGACTTCCCAGCCTCCAGGACTGTGAGAAATAAGTGTGTGTTGTTTAAGCCCCCCAGTATATGGTATTTTGTTGTGATAGCGCAAGCCGACTAATAGAGCTAGGATCTGATCTCAGGGAGTCTGGTCCCAAGCACACTTTACTGCTACACTGTACTGTCTTTTTGTTAATACAAAGTAGAAAATGGAGTGGTGATTTGGAAATTTTAGCATTTATAATTCTGGCTTTTTAAAAATTTTTCTACATACTACATGTATTACTTTCTAAATAACACCCCCCCCCAAAAAAAAAATCCAAACATGTCAAGAACAAAAGAAGAGTTGTGGATAAACAAAAGGATCTTTATTGTAATAAACTCCAAAAAATGGTAACACTTTTCTCTAACTCAAACCACCTAGTCGTGTAGCCTAACACATGTCTCTTTAGAGATTATGATGGATTTTCAATCTATTCAACATCCTGCCACTTCTCTAATTTTACTAAACTACTCTCTCAGACACCTTCTAAATTCCCCAAATCGTCCCTAATCCTATAACTAAGGACACACAGCAGAAACCACCTTGACACTGTTAGGAGGGGCAGAGACACGGGCTGGTTAAAAATTGTGGAGTTACCCACTGAAAAGCCAGGTGTCCCAGCCCCATACCAGGCTCTCCAGCCCAAGGCTCCAGTGCTGGGAATAGAAGTCCCCATAACTTCTGGCTTTGAAAACCAGTGGAGGAGACAGAGGGTTTCTGGAATCCCAGGCATTCCTCTTAAAGGGCCTGATCATAGACTTAGTTGCTCTTAGCTGCATCTCTGGGGCAACAGGTCAAAAGGCACCAGGTCCATATGGGAAGGAACTGAATTGTCTGGTCATCTGCAACCACATGGATGGACATAAGAGTGAATGAAATAAGACAGAGAAAGACAAATACCATCTGATTTCACTTATATGTGGAACTAAAAAGTCAAAATAAACTAACCAACCCCCACCCCCTGGAAACAAACTCATAGGTATAGAGAACATTTTAATGGTTGCCAGATGGGAGAGGGGTCAGGGTAATGAGTGAAAAAGAGGAATGGATTAAGAAGTACAAATTGATAGTTAAAAAATGCTCATGGGGATGTAAAGTATAGCATAGGGGATATAATCAATAATATTGTCTTTCTTAAAAAACATTTTTAAAGTTTATTTTTAGAGAGAGGAGAAGGGAGAGGGAGAAAGAGAGGGAGAGAAACATCGACGTGAGAAACATCAGTCTGTTCCCTTTCTGCCTGTCCTATGCCACCAGGACCAAACCCACGACCCAGACATGTGCCCTGACTGGGAAATGAACCAGCAACCTTTTGCTTTGTGGAACAACACCCAATCACCTGAGCTACCCAGCCAGAGCTAGTCAATAATATTGTATTATCTATGCATGGTGTCAGTAAATTATATAAATAATGTCTAAAGTCTATGTTGTACACCTGAAACTAATATAATATTGCATATCAACTGTAACTGAAAAATAAAAAAATGGTTTAAAAAATAAATAAAGCCCATAGGTAAATATGAGTTCCTGAAATTAATTTTTAAAAATTAGTGAAGTAGGATTTCTTAAATAGATACATGATACATAAATAGTAATGGAATGGTGGATAAGTTGGACTTCATTAAAGTTAAGAACTGTCCATTTAAATATACCATTAAGAGTAAAAGACAAGCCATGCTCTGGGAGAAAATATTTATAATTCACATATCTAACAAAGGACTTGTAACCAGTAATATATACATATATATATATATGATATCTATCTAATATATATCTATATACAGGTATCTAACATTGATAGATATCTAAATTTAGATAGATATAAAACATAGACAAGTCACTTGAAAAATAGATGAAAGGCTTAAGCTGGCATTCACAAAAGATGACATCCAAATGGTTAATAAACAAATGAAAAGTTGTCAACATCACCAGCCATTGGGCAGTACAAATTAAAACTACAGTGAGATACTGGAAATTCTAGCCAGAACAATTAGAAAACAAAAAGAAATAAAAGCCATCTAAATTGTAAAGGAAGAAGTAACATTATTCATAAATACCATAAGCCTATATTCTATTCGTATATAGAAAACCTCAAAGAATCAACAAGAAAGCTCCTAGAATGAATAAATGAATGCAACTAAGTTGTAGGG